CACTAGACACAATAGATGTAACCAACAAATCGCCATCATCATGGAAATCGTGAAAAGCCGATTAGAAAACTTTTGAGATCGTTTTTTTTTCAATGAATAAGTTACAATTATTCTTAAATGTATTCTATGATTTGCAAACAAATCATATAGGTAGTTGTTATAACAAATTCAAGATCAACTGAGCAGGTACTTTTAGCATCAGTTGTAGTGTTTGAAATAAAAATGTTATACATATGTGTGCTTATAAATCAATATATTATTATTATAACTTGCATCGGAGGTAAAAAAAAATTGAGTATAAATAACAGTGGTACATTCAATACCATCACTACAAGTTGTTTTCTTTCAAATTGCGAAGTATTTTTCTCGCAAACTCTCGAGCGTTCTAGTTTCAGAAACAAAAGGAACCAAAATGGCGGATAACAACTTTCCGTTCTCTACAAATGTGTCGCGAGATATTATTTTGCGAGTTAACTTCTATGAAAAAGGAGTTGTTTTGTGTTGGTTGTTATCTTTTTATTAATAAGCAAATGCATTGTATTTGTACCGCATAGTTTACGTTCCAGACTCATTGGATTGTTATGTAAATATTCATTCCGTGTGGCCGCCTCGTTAATTGCCAAAGAAGGGTCCTCAAAAGAAACAACCGATGTACGACAAACTTGTATTATAGACTAACTTTTACAAAAAAACATGCACACTGTATATGGGTTTGAAGTGACCAAAACGCTTGCGTGTTTTATCTCGATGTTCACGCCATTTATTGGCATTTTGGAGTATACATCGTGAATCTTGTAGAGAAATAATATCGCACTTGAAATCAAGTACCCTCTTAGCTCGAAATGGTAGAATGGAGAATACACAATTTAAAAATTTAAAATAAATACTGAATGGATCTTATTGCGAATGATGTAATTATTTGTAATTATAGCGGTAGCACCAACACCATCCTACGCGTTATAGCCGACCGTTTTGACTGTCCCATAATGTGGCATTTGATTCGACTGCATGTAGGGAAAATAGGAATTTGTTGTATTATATTTAATCATTATTTGATCTTATTATTATTATTACTGTTACTGTTACTGTTACTGCTTCTGCTACTGCTACTGCTAATGCTACTGCTACTGCTACTGCTACTGCTAATGCTACTGCTAATGCTACTGCTACTGCTACTGCTACTGCTACTGCTACTGCTACTGCTACTGTTTCTGCTTCTGCTACTGTTACTGTTACTGTTTTTTTTTATTTTTTTATTGTGACTCGGCAAAATGACTGCACCGCGCCTGATGGAAAGTGCGAATACAGTCCAGAGATGAGAGTAACGGATGGAAAACACAAATATCTTCACTCCGTCACTATCATTTTGCCGGTCTGGCCAAATGCTTCTTCACACTACGTTTGAAGGACCCGATGTTATAGAGGGGAGGGAATACATGCGCCGGGAGTTGGTTCCACAATTTGATGGTTCGGCATAAGAACGAATTGCCAAACTTTTTAGTGCGGGACGGTATTGAACTGACCGTCCAACTGTGGCAACGCAGTCCGGCACGTTTCTGTTACTATTGCTGTCGCTGTCGCTGTCCTTGCCGCTGTCACTGTCGCTGTCGCTGTCGCTATCACTATTACTATTATTATTATTATTATCTTATGATTTAGATTTCAATATTTAATTTTGATTTAACTTTTAATTTAATTTCAATTTATAAAGGAGGGAGGTTCTCTTCTCTATACCGTGGGATGAGGTTACCAATACAGCCAAGTGAAAACTCAAAGTTGTAATTCAGAAGATTTATTTTGCACCTTGTATGTCACTAATATAATTTCACCCTATATGCGGAAGGTCCGGGCAGTTTTTCCCAAGAAGGGATTAACTCCTGGAAACCGTTATAACAAATTTTATAATTTAAGAATATGGATCGTAGACATCTGAAATAAATTATTTATTATTATTATCTTAATTACAACGTCATTTAGTTATTTTTTTGAATTTTATAAACGTGTATTCTTAATTTCATAATTTTCAGTTACGACAGTATTTACTCTCGAGTGCTATATTATAGACGTAGAATAGAAACGAAACTTACTGTTACGCTTTTGCCTAAAAAATGCCTATTCACTCTGGCCTTGAATAACCCAAATTGTACTTTTCGGGAAACACAGTAGAGTATTCCATTTCTTTGCTGTACGCATCAGAAAGGAGGAAGCAAAGCGCTTAGTGCGATCAGGTGATATATCAACGACACAAGGATAGAGTGTTCCGGACCTGTTCTAACCGACCGAAGGAAAAACAGCGGAACTAAATTGAAAAGTCCCTGCGCACACTCCCCGAAATGTATCCGATAAAAGTTATATTGAGTGCGACAGTATAAAATATAACAATTTCCCGCGAAATAATGCCAGAAAATTAAATTATTGAATTTAAATCATAAGATTCCAAAGGGCGAAAGTTTTACTACTGCTACTCCAAATTTTATCATTTGGTGTTGTTTTACGAATAAAATTCCTAAAGTTTATTGCTGCAATAGAATTTTACAGATTTGCTATTTGTTGTTGGAAAACAAATAAATTTTTGTGCGAAATGAAGACAATAATTATCTCGTGTTATGAAAATCGGAAACAACGACGACTACAAACATCCAGACTCGAGACTATAAAGAACAGTTTTCTACATTGACCCTGCCGGAGATCGAACCCGGAACCTCAGAGTGCGACAATATAAAAACCGGTGTGCAAGCCACGCGACCACAGAGGTCGTCGAAGAAGAAGAAGAAATTCTATTTAACATAATTGGGAATGTAACGTTAGGATAAGAGTGAATGAGGAGAGCGAGAAAGAGGAACGAGGGAGTGAGAGAATATAAAAGAAAGTACAGTGGCGGGCGAAATCGGTTCACAAATCCCCCTTTTTTGAAGTCGGTTAATAAATATCAATAGACATTATAATTAATTAAGTTTTAATTGTAATTTGATACTGCCCTAAAGGATCTAGCCCGGACCCGGAAAACCGGAATCATTGTTTTTCTACAACACTGACCCAAGGACCTAAAGGTCGTTAATGTACTGCTTCCGGTACGGAACTTACGATTTTACAGCTTTACGTCATCTGAATTTCATAGATAGGCTTTTTCATTATTAAGGAGTAGATTAGTAGGTACGGTAAGTAGGTGGTGGTAAGTTCATTCAGGAATTCAACTTTACCTATCTCTGCCGCCAAGCAGAAATGTGACCATTATTGCGTTCCAGTCTTGAAGAGTCAGGGTGCTGGTAAAATTACATAGAACTTGTCAACTTATGTCTCAGGGTGACGGGCGCAGTGGTAGTGCCCCTCTAATCGTTGGTTTAAGACTCAGTGTGGCACTGCAACTGCCATGGACAGGCATGTCGCTTACCACTAGGTGCACGGCTTGTTTGTCCCGTCACTTGATGTCATAGAAAAAGGAACTAAGGTTATTCTGATTCAATCGCAGTCCAAACTCATTTCAGCGAAATTTAGTCGGAAATGCTACAACCTTGTCTCAGTCTCAAACTTTCCTGCTTTCTTTGGGATTTCGTGTACTATAAGTACCAGAGCAACCGTGGTTATTACCTAGAACACCTTGACCAGCACAAATTTAGAAAAGTTGACATCTAAAATTCACTTATAATTTTTTTAAATAAAAATTTGCGCATTTGACTTCCATCTCACGTGATGGAAACTGCTGATGAAATCGACGACGGAGCATACACACCTATATAATGCCTATTCACTCTCGCCTTGAAAAGGTCCGAGTTATATTGGGAACAAGTCTTCAGGCAGGGAATTCAACTCCATGGCCTTGCGCCATATAAATGTGGAAGCAAAACGCTTCTTGCGAATCGTTGAATACCAACAACGTAGGGGTTAACATCCCCGATGATGGAAAGGGGAAGGTGGAAATTGTTGGTGCAATTCCTCGCACAGTTTCCGTGATATATCCTGTAGAATACCGATAAGCAGGCAACTTTACTGTGGTTTTCAAGGCTCTGCAGCTTCGCATCTACTAGTTCCGAGTCACCTATAAGCCTCTTGGCACCTTTGTTGATTGAATCCAAGGTGGCCAGTTGGCACGTAGCAGAGCTATCCCATACGATCGGGCTTGAGCTTGGTATGGCTAAAGGATCTGTCCCGGTGTGAAGTGAAAATTGGTTCTGCTGGAAGTCGAAACCAGGGTTTTCTCATCCAGCGCCCAGAATCACAATTTTGCAGTCTGCCATCTCTCACGTCGCTTGGAATATTAGATTCAAATATTTAGAATACATTGCGTGTACACAGCGTGCTGAGCATTTTGCAATCTGAACCTTCTTAACAAAAGCTGGATTTAAATTTTAAATCAGAAAGAAGAAATGTCGTTATCGGTGTATATTGTTATTTTAAATGAAAAAATCGCAAACATGAAACACGTTTCGAAAACCAATTAAAATTTAAAAAACTGCCAAAGTGTGTTATATTGAAAAATAACAATGAAATTTACGAAATTCGGTTTAACATAAACAACATCATTACGACGTCAATCAAATAGATACGACATAAAATGCGGGTTGGAAACTTCACACGTTTCCTGAAGGTTGTCAACCAAATTCCGAAAAACTCAGAGGTGCTAACCCGCATTCAAACCTACTTCTGCACGGCAGTTACCACGGTTTTCAAACTAGGGCCATATAAATGTGAAAGCGAAATGTGAAAAACGAAAAAACTGCTAGTTCAAATAGCGCCGGCGTGGAGTCGTACCAACTGCAAATAGACTGCACTAGCAGTTGGCAGTCGTAAAGCAATCACATCAGCTGCATGAAAACTATAATCAGCAGTTCCATATACATTTTTTTTTATCATATACATGGTATGTTGTTGACGACCTCAGCCGATCAACGGTTTACACTATGGACGCTGGATGGGGAGGTCCTGGATGTAGATAATATCAATCATGCCTTTCAGGACAGGCAGAGATTACGGATGTTTTTAAAATTATTACTTGTCAACAGGTACCACAACAGTAGAATGATAAACTACGACGTGGAAAATGGCGTCAACGTGACTACAGACCCTGCTCAGAGGCTATCCGACTTGTTAATACCTGCGGCCACGGCGCTGCATGCTGGCAACTACACCTGTGTCCCGAATAATGCTGTCCCGGCTAGCATATACGTCCATATATTTAATGGTATGTGTCCCGAAATATCGTTTTTTTTTATAAGGAATAAGTGAAAAGTGTCCATGAGGTCGACGATGTAGCATGCATACTTTAATGATAATTATCTTTATAACATAGTGACTATTTTGAACCGACTTCAAAAAAGGAGGATGTTCTCAATACGGCTGTACGTTTCTTTTTGTATGTATGGAACCGATTTTGATTATTCTTTTTTTGTTGGAAAGATGGTACGTTAGTAGTTGTCCCATTTAATTTTGAAGAAAATATTCCTCCTCTAAGGTTGACTGTTCACGCATGAAAACTTATTTTTATAAATAGCACCTAAATTTTGTAAGTAGTAAATATTTTAATTGTCGATTTTGCTATGCTCCAATTGAAGGCGTTTTTCACTCAAGGACCGGTTTTTGTTATAAAAGTCAAAGTCAAAGTCAAATGATTTATTCACCAAGACATCACAGTACATTGGCTATAGGTAAGTCAAATTACAGAAAACACAGACTTAAATTATACAGGTACACATACTAGTAAAGTCTTAACATTATGATTTTTTGAGAAAATGAATATTCGCTTAGATTTGAATCCATAAATTCGTTGGTGTCATAAAATGCGTGATTTTCAAAGTAAAATTTTAATGTTTGCTTGAATGTAGCCATTTTCAAGTCAGTTACACTAAGTAGTAGTTTATTGTACATATTATTTTCATATTTACGCCCTGTTTTAACGTTTTTAGTAATCTGGTTTTATTTGTTACTAGTTTATGTTTACTTCTCGATGTATATACGTATGATATCTTCGCCATTTTATTTTTATCTCCTGTTAAGTCCCGTATAGTGGCGAACTAGGGGATGAATACGATTTTGCGCACTTTCTGGTAACCGATTTCAATAAAACTTGGCAAATGAATGTAATTCCACGAATTTTTCAGGTCGGTTTTTTTAGAACTCTGTACTGAGATTATAATTTCCCGAATTTAGATGTCCCGCTTTTTTATGCTAAGTATAGCATAAAAAACTATGGGAGTAGTGACGTAGTATAATAATAATAATAACTCTCCTCCTCCAAACCAGTATCGTAAAAAACATAATTATGCTTTTTTCGTAACCAGTTACGAACGAAAACTACAGTTTCGTTACACCCCGGACACTCCACACAACGGTCGAAAATTATTTACCTACTACTACTACATACAGCAAGGCGCTATCTGAACAAGCGCAAACGTGTGCGTGAGTGGCAGGGTTACCCATCACTTTCTCGCACTATTACGTTACGTGGTCTAACGCGAATCTGTTATCTATGATTTCTATTAGTAGAATCCTAATAATTATACATGTCTATTAGGTATCGATATATTATTCTATTTTTCATTAATTCACTAACTAGAGTAATATTGAAGATTTATTTCAAAAATACATTAAAATGTTATATTTCGGACATACTTTTAAGTAAGGTAACCAAGGTATTTGAAATTGCTTGTCCAAATTTAGTGAATAATTAGATCTATTCACTACCTACGTAATATTTATCGGCAGTACGAATAGAAAATTCGCGAAATCATGGCGTCTCATTTTATTTATATAATAAATCTGTATTTTTTGTACATACATGCATTACTCTATAGTAAATAAATGAAGAAAACAATGACTGAATGAGTCTCAGACATAAGTTTTTTCACTTGGTTTCATCTTTCGGAAAATGATGATAAGCAATTCATGACCATTATAAATAGTAATGTAAAATTATGTTTTATATTAACGCACAAGTTTCGTAATGAATAAATTAAAACTATATTCAAATATCAAAGCCGTCTTCGCGCGAAAACGGCTCGCCGGCAGCCTTGTTGTCGTTCAGTCAATGTGACCGGCAATGTGCGGTAGTGCGGTATCTAAAACTATGGAGGGGCGGAGAGTGTCCGTTCTCTTATTCTTTATTCTCTGGTTTCGTGCAAGTAGGTACAAAAAAGTCTTCGTTCACGACTGGTATCGTACAAAACATAATTATATTACTTTTGCAATTGGTTACGAACCACCGGTTTCGTACGCGGCCGAAGGTGATTAGAATACGGCTATTCTTAGGCTACGACTATTCTTAGCCGATATATTGAACCATACGTTACAAATGGTTCAAAATAGTGGCCATAAAATTGATTTTTTTTTTACTAACATAGTCATTAAGTTGAAACTACTAGCAATCTAAGGATTGACAATATTTTTTTTAATCTCCAGACATTTAGTGTCCCGTATTTTATGGCTGCACTTCTTGATTTCGTATATTAAATTGTCGTATAGCTGCGAAACATCATATTCATACACAAAAGTGTTCCCGTACAGACATAGTACTGTCCCAGTTAGCTTCTTAAGTTCAGAATTTACATACTTAACTAAGAGTGTGCAGGTGAATTTTGATGTCTCTTGTTTTAGTATCCCGCATATTCATATTCCTATTCAACGACTTGTATGTCCCGTTTTGACT